ATGCATCCAACATTTATGAACATACAATTACACACAATGCATTCCACACATGCATGCATACATGCTAATGCATTTACGTTCACAATTATACCTGCATGTACTCACATACATCTACACTCATACTCAGAAACACAGAACCATGCAGGCACACGCAATCATACCTGCACACACTCAGGCACACAAAACCATGCATGCACATAATCACACTTGTGTGTACTCACAACCACACCCAAGCACACACAACCACATACACACCACATACTACCCTGACAAGCTCCCCAACCTATTCTAACATTTCACATCCCACCTATTAAAATATGCCATAAAACAGAGTTCATGGAAACCAAGCAAGCAATGTGATGAGATTGCATAGCCATTCACAGGACAGAGAGCAAGGCAGAGCCAGCCATGGAAGGTGCTATGCCAATACCTCTCCTCCAGAACAAGAATGAAGGCAGCGCGCAGCTACCCCTGGATCTAACACCAGGGCTCTCCCAAGAAGCTCTTTTACTGGCTCTATTCAACTTGAAACTAGTATGAGCTGCTTTGAGGACTTCTGGGTAGCCCCTAGGTAAATGTGAGCCTCATTTATACAAAGACAAGAAGGAATGACTTAGTCTTCAAGTGGGATACTCAACACAGTTCAAGTCAGCCACTGTGGCAACTATTGGCAAGCAAAGCCCTTCCCTCCATCACAGCCAGATTACTTGCGGTGCCTATTTACAATTCATGCATCCACACAGAAACACGACTCATGTGGGTGTCACACACAGGGAACTACCCAGTACAATGTCCATCGGGGGCAATGACAAATGACTCCAACACCAGCAACCAAGCTGAGATTCTCCAAAGCTGGCCACAAACCTCCTGCCCACCCTATTGAGGCCTCATCATTACCCTGGACTCTATGCTTTTAGGTCAGAAGAAGACTCAGCACTTATGGGTCAAGGACGGATCCAAGCCCAGGCCTGTATGCACTCAATGATTCTCAATCACACGCTTGTCTCCGGGTCACACAACACCCCCAGAGCTATTCAGAGACCTCATTTCACAGAGAAGCCCACGTTCCTTTCAAGCATGACATTCGTTCTCTTTATTTTCACACCTTCGCGTCCTATTTATAGACTCAAATCCTGAACACAGGGGCTTTCCTCTGATTCATTGAAGATAAAAGTCTCATGGAGTTTCCTGCTGGGGCTGGCTTTGAATTAGGATCTTCAGCTCTCAGCATCCTGAGTAGCTAGGATTACAGGCCTGGACCCCAGACACCTTACAAAAAAAAGGAACATTTCTTTTTTATTTTTTTGGTCCGGTCGTGGGGCCTGAACTCTGGGCCTGGGCACTGTCCCTCAGCTCTTCAGCTCAAAGCTAGTGCTCTACCACTTGAGCCACAGCGCCACTTCTGGCTTTTTTCTTTTTGCTTATGTGGTGCTGAGGAATTGAACCCAGGGCCTTGAGCATGCAAGGCAAGCGCTCTAACACTGAGCCACCTTCCCAGCCCAAAAAGGAACATTTCTTGAAAGCAGAGATTACAACACACACACATATGGCAGCCACTGTTGTCTCAGTATTCCTGGAGGCGCATAGGGCTGCTGCAGCCCCGGAGGGTGGATATAGACACACTGCACAGGAATGGCTGGTGACTGGGGTGAGAAAAACTGTCTTTTCTATCAAAGTGTGTTGCTTAAAAGTTCTGCTTTGGCTTGGTGGCTTGGCTCTTATTAACAAGCAAAATAGGAACTGCCTTGGGATTTTTTTGAAATACATTTTTGAAATACTAAGGTTTTTGTCTTAAACTGGTTTCTTTTCAAGATGGGCTTAAAACACGCCTCAGATGTTTCAAGAAACAGCAGAGCCTGTGGGTATAGTTTGAGATTATGAACTGTTCATTTTATGTCAAAATCTCATTTAAATACATTTTACCCACTCAAACTAGCCAATTACAAGCAGAGTTGTGAACCGAGCTCAACCAATCCAAGCAGAGGGGTGGGACCTGCTGCATTAGGGATAAATATCAGAGCAGACTGCCTGCTCTGTGTGCTTGCCAGAGCCAGATTTTTGGCTGATGGTGCACCCTTCTGCAGGAGTAAATATTGCCCTGCTGAGACAATTCTTTATTTTCGTGTCTATCCTTGTGACTCTAATTATTCTTAGAGAGCATATTTAAAACACCAGCCACAGACCCCCACAGCAACCAGGTTCTCACGCAGAACTGTTTAAAAACACAGGCCAGAATGTCATACCAGTTGTCTGGAAATAGACAAAAGAGACCCAGACATGAACTTGAGTGGATTCCCTAGAGAGCCCCCACATATAACTTCTGGAAGAACTCAGCCCTGGAATGCTCCAGAGGTCATAGCCACAAAGGTCAATAAGGCTGGACAGCAGTGAATCATACCTGTAATAATAAAGGTAAGATCAAAACCAACCTAGGCAGGAAGGTGTGTGAGACTCTTTATCTCCAGTCACCAAAAGGCTAGAAATAGAGCTGTGGTCAAGTGGTAGAGTACTTGCACAAAACAGCTAAGAGAGAGAGAGCCAAGGCCCTGAGTTCAAGCCACAGAACTGGTACATGCATGCCCTCTAAAACACCAATGAAATGTCCTCCCTCACAGTGTCACCACTACTGGCCAGCCAACCAAAGGTCCCTGTCCTGGATGCCATCACTTCAGCTTCTTTCTTCTTTTGTCAGCACAATCCTGAGAGATCTGACATCTTCTGCTCTCAAATCAACTCCTTCAAAGCAGCCCCTGACCACTCAGGGGGGAAGAGCCCACCTCTGGGAAGAAATCCCTTGTGTCCACTTCACTCTTCCTCATCACTTTCAAGGCTGAGGACACTCCCTGGCCCAAAGCTTTGATATATCACATGAGGATCTGCTAAAGCAGAAAATGAATGAAAATGATCCTAGTCAAGGGGCTGAGATCTGAGAATTGCAGTTCGAGCTAACCCTGGGCAAATCCACTGACTCTTATCTCCAATTAACCAGCAAAATGACAGAAGTGGAGATGTGATTCAAGTGGTAGAGTGCCAGCCAGGAGTGTAAAGGCTAAAGAAGAGTGTGAGGCCCTGAGTTCAAGTACACACACACACACACACACACACACACACACACACACACACGGGCATCTAGTGGGCTGAGGGGAGGAGGAAACATCTGAAGGTTCCAGAAGAGGGTGGATGCCTAAGCATCCTAGTTGGAGGGGTACCTGGAGGCCTGGTGGTGGGAGGAGACACCTGAGAACTTGGATTGAAAAGTGTTAGCTCATAGGAAGCAGAGGGAAAGAGAAGAAGCGGTAGGTACAGTGCCACCTGCTCACAAGTACATTCTTCAGCACTGAGTGTGAAGATGTTTTCAAAGAAGAAAGAAGCAAGCAGCTTCATCATTCTACACTGAAAGGACTCCAAGCGACCTAGAGGAGCTTTGGGTTGGATCCCCAGCCCCCTGAAGCCTGACAGCTGTGTATCTCCCCGCCTCTACTCCAAAGCAGCATGGTGGTCCAATGAAGAAACCAAGAAGTCTCAGGGCTGGGAAGGTGGCTCAGTGGTAGAGCGCTTGCCTGGCATGCCTGAGGCCCTGGGTTCGATTCCTCAGCACCACATAAGCAAAAAAAAAAAAGCTGGAAGTGGCGCTGTGGCTCAAGTGGTAGAGTGCTAGCCTTGAGCTGAAGAGCTGAGGGACAGCGCCCAGGCCCAGAGTTCAGGCCCCACAACCAGACCCCCCCCCCAAAAAAAAAGAAACCAAGAAGTCTCAATGTGGCAGAAGACCACCAGCCAAAACGGTAGGCTTTCACAAAAGCATTGCTGAGTATGCTGGTACATGTCTGGAATCACAGCACTGGAGAAGCTGAGACAGGAGAACTACAAGTTTAAGGTCAGCCTACTCTATACACAGCAAGATCCTGTCTCAAAAGATTAAGTGGTGCTCCAGTGGTGCACACGTGTAATCCTAACTACTCAGGAGGCTGAGATCTGAAGATCATGGTTCAAAGCCAGTATGGGCAGGAAAGTCCATGATATCCTAATCCCCCAATTTACCAGGAAAAAGCTAGACGTGGGGGTATGACTCAAGTGGTAGAGTGCCAGCCTTGAAGAAAAAAACTAAGCAAGAGGACAGGGCCCTGAGTTCAAACCCTAGTACCAGCACACAAAAAAATAATAAATGAATTCCACAAATGGGAGTGTTAAACCCTACAAAGAAGTGGATAACAGCCTCCACTATGTGCCAACCCCAACAACCCAGACACACACCCATTCTGCAATGCACAGTACAACATAATTGAAAGTTTCACTAACTACAAGATGTGTAAAAGCATCAAGAACCCAAGTTAGTGGCTTTACGGACAGTAGCAGTGCCACATCACACAATGAACCTAACTCTGAAGAACAAATAACTTTATCAATAGATTAGAAAGTCCAAATGAATTAAGTGAAGGAAGAACACTATGGAGAAACCACAAAGCACCGGGCACTGGTGGCTCATGCCTGTAATCCTAGCTACTTAGGAGGCTGAGATCTGAGGATCGCTGTTCAAAGCCCATCTGGGCAGGAAAATCCCCATGAGACTCTTATCTCTAATTAACCCCTCAAAAACTGAAAGTGTTGCTGTGGTTCAAGTAGTAAAATAGTAGCCTTGAGCACAAACAGGCTCAGGGACAGTGCCAGCCCCAAGTTCAAACCCCAAGACCAACAAAAGAGAAAGAGGATGGGGAGAGGGAAAGGAGAGAGAGAAAAAAAAAACAGAGAGCAAATCACAAATCACCAAGAGCTGTTTTCTCTCCCATCAGAGTAGCTCTGCTACTGGAAAAATCTTGTGGGCACATACCTCTGTAAATACGGTAGGTTCCTACAAGTACAGGTCCAGGGGTGCAAGGAGGCAAAAAGAGGGAAATTCCACTATTTAACTTTTGGCAACTCCCAAAAGAGTGTTTTCACTTTTGCTTTTTGCTTGTTTGGCTTCAGTTTAGCCATTGCGAGGAGAATCAGAAGCAAGGACTTACCTCGGCACGAAATCCCTTGACCGTCAATGGTTTCTTTGCAAACACCACAGGCTTTGGATTTCTTAAAGGCCTTTTTCTTAAAACTGTGCAGACTTGCAGTCAGTTCTTCAGCCTGCAAAAGTCAAGGAGGAAACTGTCAACACTTCAAATCATAGTGTGTGTTTTTTTTCTCTTTTTTCCTTTCTCTTCCAGGAGATAATAAATCAGGTGGAATCTGCACACACATACACACACACACACACACACACACACACACACACACACACACACACACACACACAGAAACAGAGAATGAGAAACCATCCTGCAAGGCTGGAATTCCCAAGATGAGCCACAGTCACCAGTCAGTAGTCTGGATCTGAGAGTCCTTGTGGGCAGCTAACTCTCTATGTGACGGCTCTGAGTGGCATGATATCAATCGCTGTGGCCTAGGTGATAATATGCTCTCATCCACACTTGTGGCTTACATCTTCTACTTCCAAAAAGCAACCCATTTCCAAAATTGTGTGTGTGTGTGTGTGTGTATGTGTGTGTGTGTGTGTGTGCTGGTGCTTGAACTCAGTACCTCTAGTTCTCATTTAGATTTTACACCAAAAGCTGGCACTCCACCACTTGAACTACACTTCCATTTCCCACCTTTTGCTACTTAACTGGACAGAAAAGCCTCACTGATTGGTCTGTCTGGACTAGCTTGGAACATGGATTCTCAGATCTCAGCCTCCTAAGTAGCTGGGATTACAGAAGTGAGCCACCTGCACCCAGTTCACACTGCTAGTATCTTTATGCTTTTTCTTCTGGAAGAAATGATCAGCTAACTAATTTTCCCCTCAAAGATGTTGTTAGATGCCAAAACATTACCATTCAGTTGGAAGCCTTGCCAAGCCACATCTTTTCTGCAGAACAGTCGTTAAGACTCCGCTGAGATACACAAGCGATCTGGCAAGGATTAAGACTGAGAAGAAATTAACTACTCACCCACTAAGTTCATGTCTGTAAAGTCTGGGATCATGGCTATATCTGATGACCTTCTAATTCAATGGCCTTAGAAATCAGATAGCAGCCTTATACCTAACTTGCTGATCTGTGCTAGTGAACAACCAATGCTAGCTACGTGGATGGTCACCAAGGCCATTACTCACCTAACCAGAATAATTGAAACTAAAAAGACAATAAGCTACCATAAAATACAACTTTGATGAACAGCTTGTATTTGCAAACATGCACTTACCCTGTGATCCAGCAATGCCATTCCAACACACAATAAAGATATAGCAGCCTAAAAGTGCCCACAACCAGGTGCTGGTTGCTCTCACATGTAATCCAACCTACTCAGGAGGCTGAGCTTGACAATCAAAGTTCAAAACCAGTCAAAGAAGACAAATCTTTTATAGATAGCTATCTCCCATTAACCAGCAAAAAGCCAGACTATGAGCATGACTCAAGTGGCCAAGCAACAGCTGTGAGTAAGCAAGGCAAAGGAAAGCATAAGGTCCTGAGTTTAAGTCCCAAGATGCAAGAACTTCTAGTGGTTCTATTTAAGATGTTCATGAGCAGGCATGTTCATCTCTATTAACATAAGCAACAATAGTACAGTCCCCCTCTGGAGCACAAACTCATTGCACAAAGTGATAGATAAGGTCTGGTGAAGAAGGGGTTACTTAGGGTGGTGTCTATGTGGGGGACACATAGTTAGCATCATTATCCCGAGTGCTTCAAGTTTTTACATTTTACTCACTAAAGTTTAGGCCTACAAAGGAATAGGTAAAAGTTAATAAAATGGCAATCCTGAGATGTTGTCAATTTGGTCTTGAAGATGAGTTAAACAATGTTAAGTACTGTTAAGGGGAAAGAGATTAATAGAGGCAGAGAGACAAAGAATGTGTGTGTGGTGTGGTGTGGTGTGTGTGTGTGAATGTGTGGTGTGCTAATAAACAGGATCTTCTATTTCTGATACAGATGTAGTGCCAGAAACGGAATTGATCTCCCACCTGAAATAACCAAAAAGGTCCCCCCACAGTGCAAAAAATATACAATGTGGTTAACATGCTGAAGCAGAATATGAAGAGTAGTGATGAGGATCCCTTGTTCAACAGTTCAACTCACAGAGGGTGGACTCCTAAGACTAACAGAACCGAAAAATTCCCCCAACCGAGCAATACCATGGTGACCTCAATCTGTACACAGTGACCACATCACCAGACCTCGAATCTCCTAGAATGTGTACTCGGCATAAAGGACACACAACCATATTCAGGAAGGAAAACAAAACCATGAATCCCATGGTTGTCAGCTCCCTTCCCCTCCCCCACAGGCTACCTTAAGAGATTTTCTAGGCTGCCTGGAGGAAAGGAGAAAGCAGGCAGAACCTAGTATACTACCTGGGCTGAGGAAGGCAAGGTGAATTTGCTAGACAGAATCTGCACAGGTCCCAGGATCCTTAAGATCTGCACAAAGGCCAGGCACCAGTGGCTCACACCTATAATCCTAGCTATTCAGGAGGCTGAGATCTAAGGATCTCAGTTACAAGGCTGTAAGACTCTTATCTCCAATTAACCACCAGAAAACAGGAAGTGGTGTAGTGGTTCCAAGTGACTGCGCTAGCTTTAAGCACAAAAGCTCAGGGACAGTGCCCAAGCTCTGAGTTCAAGTCCCAGGACAGACAAAAAAAAGCGGGGAGGAAAAAAGAACACACACAAAAAACCCTCTTAAATGTTTACCTCAGTATTGAGCAGGGGGAAAACAGACACAGAGAAACCTAAGAGATGAGGCCCCGTAGGAAAAGAACCACCAAACAGGGTTAGAGGTGACAGTGCTTGACATGCACACAGAGCTGGGGATGGGGCCTGGTTCTACAGCCAGACCAAAAACATCACAAAACCCAAGCACAGTACTCAGAAAACCCAGAAGGTGCATACCTAGGGTATGGGAAAGAATAGCCCTGGATAGAATAGTGTTCTATCTTACCCTGTCTGAAAAGCTCTACCCAAAAGGAACTGTTAACTGTTTCCAAGTAACGAAATTGCATTCCAGAATAAAGCTCGAAAGGGTACCAATACCAACACAAAATTTTTTCAGCATCCAAACACAGTCAAATACATGTCTGGCGGCCAGTCAAAAATTATCAGGCACTCAAGGAGACAAGGAAACAAAACCCGCATGGAGAATAATCCATTGAAACTAATCCAGAAATTACTGGGATCTGAGAACAAGCAGACAAGAATAGTTAGAGAGTTAGTACAATTGCATTGTATGTGTCCAAAAGCAGATCCTGGAAAACATACAAACATCCACATTAAATATCCACTGAAGGAAAGCAAAAGTCTCAGGTTAAAAAAAAAAAAAAAAACACTGGAAATGATTACTGGCCATATTGGAAAACAGAACAGTGAGGAGGACACCAGGAGCTCACACCTGTAATCCTGGTTGCCCAAGAGGCTGAGATCTAAGAACCCTGGTTCAAAACAGCTCAGGCAATAAAGTTTGTGACCCTTTGTTTCCAATTAGCTGGCAAAAACTTGGGGGTAGAAGCATGACTTAAGTGGTAGAGTACCAACCCTAAGTTTAAGCCCCAGTATAGAGAGACAGAGAGACAGAGGGAAAGAATAGAACTGAAGATATCACAATACAAACTTCTAAAAATTAAAGCACAAAGAAGCATAGGCATCCTAGAGCATCAGAAACCAAGAGAATATTGCATAATATCATGCATTCTGGGTCCCTACAGAGGACTAAGGTAAAGATAATTGAAAAACTACTGACTAAAACTTCTCCAAAATAGGGGGAAACTTGTAAACATGTAAGGCCAAGAACTGCACAAATTTCTAGAATAAGAAGTTAACAATAACTACACCAAGGCACATGAAAAACAAATTGCTCTAATCTAATAATAAAATTTCTAAAAAAAAAAAAAAATATATGAAGCATCACATTCAGGAAACCAAATATTAGGATAAACGAAGTTTTTCATTAAAAAAAAAAAGGTAAGCCGGGCGCTGGTGGCTCACGCCTGTAATCCTAGCTACTCAGGAGGCTGAGATCTGAGGATCACGGTTCAAAGCCAGCCCGGGCAGGAGAGACGTGACGTGAGACTCCTATCTCCAATAAACCACCAGAAAACCGGAAGTGGCGCTGCAGCTCAAGTGGTAGAGCGCTCGCCTTGAGCTGAAGAGCTGAGGGACAGCGCCCAGGCCCAGAGTTCAAGCCCCACGACCGACAAAAAAAAAAAAAAAAAAAGGTAATACAAGTAAAAAGACAATGGAGCAATATCAAATGCACACAGAAAAAAAGAAACCTGTCCACTCACTAGACACTATGTTGAAAATGAACTACACAACTTGTATGTGGGGATGGGAGGGAAAAATTGGGAGCGAGTGAGGAAAGAGGTGGTGACATTGCTCAAAAAGAAATGTACTCTTAATATATATATATATATATATGTATGTATGTGTGTGTGTGTATATATATATATATATATATATTTTTTTTTTTTTTTTTTTTTTTTTTTTTTTGCCAGTCCTGGGGCTTGAGCTCAGAACCTGGACACTGACCCTAAGTTTCTTTTGTTCAAGGCTAGCACTTTACCATTTGGACCACAGCGCCACTTCTAGCTTTTCTTTTTTTTTTTGGTGGTAATGAGGAACCAAACCCAGGACTTCATGCATGCTAGGCAAGCACTCTACCACTAAGCCACATTCCCAGCCCAGAAATGTACTCTTTACCTGACTTATGTAACTGCAGCCCCTCTGTATCACCTCCATAATAATGACAAATTTAAAAAATATAAATATAACTTTTAAAACTGTCAATCTAGCCAAAATATCTTTCAAAATGAAAAAAGAATTATAAATGTATTAAGATACTCAGAATCAGAACACTGAAATGCATTCGCATCCCTAGCTGATATATAAGATGTGCCATTAGGGAAAAGGAAACAGCAAACAGGCAGATGGAACTATGGCTTTATATAAAAGGATAAAAAGCATTAGGAATGTAATTATATATGATTTTCTTATTAAAGATCATTAAGAATTATCTGTTCAAATAAAAAATACACTGGGCATGGTTTCTACTCAGGAGGCTGAGATCTAAGGATCACAGTCTGAAGCCAGACTG